CTTATTCTTTTTAGATTCTTTCGTTGTTTTTTTCAAAATTCTTTCTTTTTTATCTCCTTCTTTTCATTTTTTAGATTCTTTCTGTTCTTTATTTTTTATTACTTTTTTTCAGATTCGTTCCTTATTGTCTATCGTTTTCTACCCCTGCAAAGCTGGTGGGAAAAAACTTCTGTTTTAGCATTTTGACGATTAGCTCATGAGTTAGCATTTTGACTTTGACGAATGGCTCTATGGTGAACGCAAACCTCAAAGTTCCTGTTGTTGTTGGTTGTGTCTTATGTCCACTGATCTCATCATCGCAATCATTCCCTCCTGCCCTCCCCCAAAGAATCTCTGCATGAAAATTGTAAAAGAAATGTACACAACGTTTTCAAGCGAAACGTGGAGACCATTCGATATAAAAGCCTTGTCCAGGAGCAGACCTTTCTCTTCCTCCAGTTTTTTTTCTCTCTCCCCCTGTCTTCCCCTCTCACGCCTCATCCTAGCCCACCTTCTCACTCTCACCGTCATCGTTTTTGTCATTATTGCCCTCATCTCAGAATGAGGAATAGAAAACAAAATAGCCGTCTAAAACGTGCACACGAACAGTGACGCGGGTAGACCAGTTTAGAGTCAGAGTCTTGAAGATATCGAGCAAATTCTGGTATTCTATCTATACGCAAGATATTGTTGCTAATCATTGGAGTTGAAATTAGGTGGTGATTCACTTAAATACAGAAACAGTGTCTATATTTGAAGTAATTTTTTTAAAATATTAAAAAAATCTTCTCTTTTTATAGTACAGACTAAACTAAGCGTTGCGCAGTGACAGTATTAGACATAGTACAAAGTGTCACGAACATCTGCTACGTATTAACAAATAATACTATCTAATTTGCCCTGATACTGGCAATGCAATCTGAGAGAAGGCAAAGTAACAACCCCATCTCAACATTTCCCCATCTGCAAAGATACTATTGAAATTGTTATTGATATTAAACTGATGAGGAAAACACCTGAGTCTGGACCTTTGAAGTCGAAAGGGGCTTCGGCTGCTAATGATTACTAATTACTAGAAAACATGGGGGAAATTTGGAGAGGTAAAAGATGGTTTGGGGGG